GGCCACAGATAGAGGTCACTTCTTTCCCTTGGTTGTCATCTGACTTAGGAGGCATCAGGAGTTTGGTTTGTTTACCATTGGCTCACATGAACAGAATAGCGTAGGTTGTATGCTGGGGACTCACTCCCCCCAGGGAAAAACTTTTAGCTAAGGGTGGGAAGTCCAAGCTGTGAAGCTGAATCACCAGCAGCAACAATTTTTGTTCCCCTTAGATACTGTCAAATGGGTCGGTTCCACTAGGAGCTGGTTACCTTCCTGTGAAGATGACTTTAGGGGAGATGGTGGTATTTGGTTGGGAAACAGAATACCACAACCTCCCAAGAAGCCCACGCGTAATCTGAGTGGGGCACAGACATAAAAGGAAGAAACACAGACCTCAAGTGAGAGAAGAAATGTTCGCTCTTGAGACAATTTTAATTCTGTTCCCACATTATCAGGTGGACAAAGTTCCCCTTGTGAAGTTGCCCTCAAGCGTTTCTCTTCCTCATTTTCTCCTCTACTTCCCAGCTCTACTCCTCAACCCCCTGAGGCTTAAAGGGGACCTGTGATGAGATTAGAGGAGGGGAGGGGACTGATGTCAACTCCCTCCAGCCAAAGACCCGCAGGACAGGGCTGGAACTGGTGAGATAAGAGAGGCACCCGGAGAATAAAGTGTATGGCCAGCCCTGCATTTGCCTGAGGAACGCCCTGTGCTTGGATAAATTGGATTTGCTACCCATAGCAGAGAAGGAGAACTGTGGGGTGTCTCACTGACAAGGTGCTAGAAAGGATGTACAGGACTGGGGTTGTGGTAGGAGATATTGGGGAGGGTTTAATGGAAGCGGATCTTTGCATGCTGTCAGAAGCAGGGGTAAATTCTACGATTCTGTATCCTAATGAATCGTGTCTAAAAGGGAGGAAGAAAAAGTGAGACTGAAGCTGTAATGGTAAAGCAGTAGCACTCACTGCTCCGAGCCAGAACAGGGAAATGTTTGGTCCTTTCTATGGTTTGGACACTGTTGATGTTTTATATCTGTGTTCAGACACGATTGTGGAGTGGTCTTATTTTTGTCTTTATCATGGTCACGGAGACACCCTGCTTGCTGCTGATGTTCTGTGAAGTTGTTTAATAAGAGAACGCCAAGGCCTAGCTTATAGGACCACCCAGATCCAGGTTGTCAGTGGCCACTTTTCTCTTTCTCAGTGATCATTTCACTTTCTTTGAAGTCACAATATCACAGGACAGTAGAGTCAGAAAGGGCTTTTGATCTAATTCGACTCTCACCTTTAAGATAAGGAAATGGAAAATGAGAGATATTACCTGCCTTGCCAACAGCCCACAGCCAGTTAGCGTCCCAGCTGGCAATTCCTGGGCCCTGCACGCACTGGCCCTGCGTCCTATCCAGCTGCATCTCCCACGTGACTCTCCTTCTCTTGGCACTTAGCCTACCCTCCCTTCAATTCCTCCAGTGGGCCAAGTTCTCGGGCCCTTACCATTCCTCTCAGAATGCTCTTCCGCCCCTCTGACTTGAGCCTCTTGCTTAATCCATTTCTCTTCATCCATCCTCAAGGAACTCAAGGAAGCCCCTCCTGGTTCTCCAGGCCTCACTCTCCTGCTCTGTGCATCTGCCTGGAGCTTCCCTGCCACAGCCCCTCTTGCTCTTTATGCAGCCAGGGACCTGGTCTGTCTTATTCATTGCTGGCATACTCAGGACACAGCAGGTGCTTGATGAATGGCTGCTTTACCTCAAGCCCTGTGGAGGCTCTATCACTGGAATTCTCTTTATAGCACAATAAAAAAAGGGATTTTGAATCTTTTCTTGGGGTCATAATATAAACGTAGAGTCCAGTTGCAAGCATACAATAAGCTGAAGTAAAAATGCTGAGGTGTCGCAAGTAGGTGGAGGGTGAATTTGATGATCCCATCCGCATGTCATCCTTCCTGCGATGGCTATCTGGACATGCGGGTGTGCCGGAAAGGCCAGCATGCAGCCAGGAGCCCTCCTACCCCTGAATTACGGAGAGGTCTTTGGCTCAGGGGTGACCGTAATCTGAATCTGCCTATCAGTACTGCTCAAGCCCATCAGTATTTACAAGGTTAGAGGAGAATGCAGGGTAGATTGCTTAGTGTGAAAAAGGCTGTAAAATGAGACAGTCCTGAGACTTCTTAGATTTTTTTTGTGTGTGTGTGAGTGGGAGGGAGTAATGGGTATCTTTGAGATGCTGATGAAAATTTCTGAAAAATGCACATATGCATATAATTTCTTCCAATTCAGATGTTTCATGTACCAGAAAAGCAAGATTAAGTGACTTGCCCGAGAGTACACAGAGGTAGAGCAAGAACGGAAGCTGAGTTTTCTTCCTACCTAGTAATCCCTTTTCCTTATGTGCCTCCTCTCCTCATTGCCCACACAGGAATAACAGCAGTACGGTTGCTGTGCGGATTATATTAAAACAGTGCTAGTAAGAATTTAACATAAAGCCTACCACATAGTAAAGGCTCAAAAAACGTTAGCTCTTCATATGATGATAGTGACTCCCTCTCTCTTCCCAACCAGTGCCTTTGCTAACTGAATTGATCAGGATGGTGACTTGCCACCTCCTGACCAGTCCTAGAATGCCTACTTTGGCCCCGGTGGGATGGACACCTTCAAAAAGCAAATGTATGATTCTGAGACAGCACTGGGGAAGAAAGCCGGGTAAGCCACCCAACAAAATGGTGTCCTCTGAGACTGGGGTAGCATCCTGTCTGCATGGTGGATAGGATTAGCTGCAGGACACACTTCTCGCCTCTACAGTGGGATCATGATTAGGATGCATTCTGATGTCTCTAAAATGACAATAGTCAATGCAGCAATTTGAAAGCAGGTTTGCAAAGAAACTAAAAGAAGACAAACTGCCTTTGGCTGAAGAAGTCTAGTGGAGGGGGACCGAGAAGGGGCCAGGAGATGGTAGTTCTAGTCCTACCCAGCTGCTCCTCTTTGGGACAGCTGTTTTCTTCCCTGGGCTTTGGTGTCTTCTCTTGTAAGATGACCAAGTGGTGTGAGGGGTTTGGTGGGTCCCAGGAAGCCCCTTCTAAGCAGACAGAACCTCAGTGGAAGCGGCTGGATTTGGAAGTGGGCTCTCTTCCTGTCTCCTTTCCAAGTCCTGCTCAGGTGAGAGGGTCTTCCTCCTCTCTCCCAACCCACCTCCCACCTACAGAGATGGGCTCAGCCACTGCCCTGTTGCAGGGGGTGGGGATGGTGGCGCGGAGAGGGGAAGATCCTCAGGGAAAGAGGTTTCTTTCTCCACGGTCAGCAGCCCCACCCCGCCCCAGGCCGCTCCTGCAGTCTCCCTCACGCCGGTGCCCGGATCCGCATCCGCCTCTGCTGCAGGGCAGGCTGTACTGGAGCAGAAAGATCTCTAGCTCGATTTGCAGCCCGGATGCAGCGACAGCGTCAGCAAGGAGGTGAGGTTGTTTTGTAATGCGTGGCGCTAAAGGAGTGGTTTTCCCCGGAGTTGGCCTCTGGCCCTCACAGCGGGAACGTCGCTGCCTTTGCTTTACTGATCATGGGAGTGACTCCTTCAAACAGCCGCCAGCGAGCCTGTGCTGGGCTTGCAGATCTAGTCCCAATGTGCCAGACTCTACCAAGGGTTATTGATAACATAAGACCAGAAACATTTCTGAGCAGAATGAATACATGATTAGAATCCAATACTGTAATGCTGGGCCCAAGAAGGCATCTCAGAATGTTTAGTATAAATCTACCATTTTACAAATAGGTAAACTGTGGCTCAGAAACAGGAAGCAGCTTGGCAAGTCCCAGGGCCAGACGCTAGCAGTGTTAGGACGGAAATGTACACTCTCATCATTTCATAGTTTACTTGGTTAGGAATGGGAAGCTTCTGTTTTTTCTTAGACAGTCTCACTCTTTGCCCAGACTGGAGTACAGTGGCACAATCTTAGCTCACTGTGGCTTCCTTCTCCCAGGTTCAACCAATTCTCCTGCCTCAGCCTCTGGAGTAGCTGGGATTACAGGTGTGCACCACCATGCCCAGCTAATTTTTACATTTTTAGTAGAGACAGAGTTTCACCATGTTAGCCAGGCTGGTCTCAAACTTCTGGCCTCAAGTGATCCACCTGCCTTGGCCTCCCAAAGTGCTGGGATTACAGGCGTGTTATCCCACTGTGACTGGCTGAGGCTTCTTTCTTCTAATTTTTAGTGTGCAAACTGTTAACACAGTAAACCACAATGGAAGGATCAATTTTACTGGAACATTAAGATATGGCCAAATTATGCAGAATTTTAAATTTGGAAAAAATATTAGAAGTCATCTAACTCACTTCATTTGTTTGTGATTGTTTAGAGGCAGAGAATGGTATAGACTCTTGTGGGCTCTGCCCACTGCCATGGCTGTTAGGAAATAAACTCACCTAAACAGAGATGCAAATGAACACCACACACTCTTGTAGGAAAGCAGAGAATTTTGCTACTAGCGTGGCCTGATTTTGAGGGTGGGTGGAGGTGAGTGGGAAGAGTATAGAGATTAGTAAACAGTGTTTAGCAGATTTTTAAAATGTATATATTTTATTTAAGACTGTTTAAAATAAAATATATACTTAGTCCAGAGTATCCATGTTGTGGGATTATTACATTTTAAATTTAACCAGGGAGTTTTCCATCTTGAAGTGACTTAACTGCGCATAGGCAAGGCTATGTACATCAACTGTTGTGACCCTAAGAATCTGAGCATTAGATCATTTATAATAATATGCTAAATACATGATTGAGAAGTCCTGAAAGGATAAATCAGTGAGTATCCGAGGGATGTGTTTGAGAAGACTGGGGCATTGAGATGGAAGGTGTGGACAGGCAAAGGAGAGGGCAGGTGTCATGGAGTGGAGGAGAGGATGGTGAAGTCTCAGGGGTGGTAACAAGCGGTGGTTCTGGGCCCTTCTCAGTTTCCCCTTTCAACATGGTAGCTGTGAGCATGGATTCCGTTCAGCTCTTATAGCAAATGTAATGGAAGATAAGCCTTACCTCACAGGGTTGTTGTACTGACACATGCAAGTGTGTGGCATGTCAATCCTCAGTACGCAACTGTACCTTCTGTCCTGTTCAGCCCCTTCTACTCTTCTAAGTGAGCAGTCCTTCAGCCCTTTCTCTTTTAAGGATCCTAATTCCAGCCAGAGACAGATGGGCCTGTATAGCTGAAACACAGAAGTGTAATCTCAATTGGAGAAGTCCGGATTCATTCCTTTTCTCTGTACCTGGTAACACTATTTCTAATAGGAAATAAAGGCATTTCCATGTTCCTCAAGTGAGGCTTGTTGTGCAAAGATGGTATAGTCTCATAATAGAATACTATGCAATCTTTAAGAACATCTCATAAAACTACCCAAAGACATAGGAAAATGCTCATGATATGCTGTTAATTTAAATAAATTCAAAGCAAACTTATGGATTAGCACATACTGTGAAACCAATTCATTTTCAAAATATGACTAGCCCTAGGAAGAAAAGATGGAGCATTGTTAGACCAAGAAATGATTACTAACGTTAGTTCCATGATACCTAAACAGCAACAGCAGTACAGCTACCTGAGAGTCAGGGGATTAAGTGACTTGTCCAATGCTAAACAACTGGTAACTGGCAAAGCTGCAGCTGGAATCAGTTCTCAGATTTCCAATTCTATGTTCTTCCACTGGACCATTCAAATCTGCTCCTCCCTCAGACTGCTGGTGTCCTTCATAGACATATACATCTCAGGAAGGACATATTATTTTGAAGTAGCCATACTGATGTCACCACAATCATTTAGATGTCCCCAGAAAATAGAGGTTTGTTTATTTGTTTATTTTTAAGTAGTTTTTATCTTGGCTTTCATTTTAGGTTCAGGGAGTGCATATACAGGTTTGTTACATGAGTAAATTTAAATTGCATAATGCTGAGGTTTGGTGTGCGAATGATCTTGTCATTCAGGTAGGAGCATAGATAGCATAGGCAGCTTTCAACCCATGTTCCCACCCCCCTATTCTCCCTTAATGTAGACCCAAGTAGCTTTTGTTCCCATTTTTGTGTCCATGTGAATTCAGGGCTTAGCTCCCGCTTATAAGAGAGAACATGAAGTCTTTGGTTTTCGGTTCCTGCATTAGTTTGCTTAGGATAAAGGCCTCCAGCTGCATCCATGTTGCTGCAAAGGATATGATTTTGTTCCTTTTTATGGTTGCATAGTATTCCATAGTATACATGTACCACATTTTCTTTATCCAATCCACCACTGATGGGCATCTTGGTTGATTCCATGTCTTTGCTATTGTGAAGAGTTCTGCAATGAACATATGAGTGCAGACGTCCTTTTGGTAGAATTATTTATTTATTTATTTTTGGATGCATACCCAGTAGTGGGATTGCTGTCAAATGATAGGTTCTGTTTTAAGTTCTTTGAGGAATCTTCACACTGCTTTCCACAGTGGCTAAATTAATTTACATTCCCACCAACAGTGCATAAGTGTTCCCTTTTCTCTGCAAACTCAACAACTGTTCTTTTTTTTTTTTTGGACTTTTTAGTAATAGTCATTCTGATTGGTGTGAGATGATACCTCATAGTTTTGATTTGCATTTCCCTAATGATCAGTGGTGATGAACATTTTCCCATATATTTGGCCCCATGTATGTCTTCTTTAGAGAAGTGTCTGTTCATATCTTTTTTAAAATGGGATCATTTGTTTTTTGCTCGTTCAATTGTTCAAGTTCCTTACAGATTCTGGATATTAGATCTTTGTTGGATGGGCAGTTTGTTAATATTTTGCCCTATTCTGTAGTTTGTCTGTTTACTCTGTTGATAGTTTTTGTTTTTTGTTAGTTTGCTGTGCAGAAAGCAGCTCTTTCCCTCACCTAGGTCCTTCTCATCAATTTTTGTTTTTGTTACAAATGCTTTTGGGGACTTAGTCATAAATTCTTTCCCAAGGCTGATGTCCAGAGTGGTATTTCCTAGGTTTTCTTCTAACATTTTTATAGTTTTAGGTATTATATTTAAGTCTTTAATCCACCTTGAGATAATTTTTGTATATGGTGAAAGGAAGGGATCCATTTTCAATCCTCTGACTATGCTAGTCAGTTAACTCAGTACTATTTACTGAACGGTAAATGATTCTGATATTATTATATGGGAAGTCCTTTCCCTACTGTTTGGTATTGTAGATTCTGTCAAAGGTCAGGTGGTTGTAGGTGTGTCGCTTTACTTCTAGGTTCTCTGTCCTGTCCCATTGGTCTATATGTCTGTTTTTGTACTAGCACAATAGTGTTTTGGTTACTATAGCCTTTAGTATAGTTTGAAGTCAAGGAGTATGATGCCTCCAGCTTTGTTCTTTTTGCTTAAAATTATTTTGACTATTCAGTCTCTTTTTTGGTTCTACATGAATTTTAGAATTGTCTTTTCTGATTCTGTGAAAAATGATGTTGGTGGTTTAATAGGAATAGCATTAACTCTGTAAATTGCTTTGGGCAATGTGGACATTTTAATGACATCGATTCTTCCTATCCATGAGCATGGAATGTTTTTCCATTTGTTTGTGTCTTCTCTGATTTCTTTCAGAAGTGTTTTGTAATTTTTGTTGTTGAGAACTTCTGCCTCCTTGATTACCTGTATTCCTAGGCATTTTCTTATTTTTCTGGCTATTGTAAATGAAACTGGGTTATTGATTTGGCTCTCAGCTTAAATATTATTGGGATATAGTAATGCTCCTGATTTTTATACATTGATTTCGTATCCTAAAACTTCACTAAAGTTGTTTATCAGTTCTCAGAGGCTTTTGGCAGAGTCTATGGGGGTTTCTAGGTATAGAATCATATTGTTTGTGAAGACAGAAAGATTGACTTCCTTTCTTCCTATTTGGATGCCTTTTGTTTCTTTCTCTTGCCTGATTGCACTAGGTAGTATTTCCAATATTATGCTGAATAGGAGTGGTAAGAGTAGACATCCTTGTCTTGTTCCAGTTCTCAAGAGGAAATGCTTCCAGCTTTTGCCTATTCAGTATGATGTTGGCTGTGGGCTTGTCATAGATGGCTCTTATTATTTTGAGGCATGTTCTTCTGATGTTTAATTTGTTGAGGGTTTTTAATATGAAGGGATGTTGAATTTTATCAAAAGTCTTTTCTGCATCTATTGAGACCATTATGTACTTTTTGTTTTTAATTCTGTTTATGTGGGAAATTGCATTTATTGATTTGCACATGTTGAACCAACTCTGCATTCCAGGAATAAAGCCTACTTGACTGTGGTGGATTAGCTTTTTGACATGTTGTGGATTAGGTTTGTTGGTATTTTGTGGGAGATTTTTGCATTGCTGTTCATCAAGAATGTTGTGTGAAGTTTCCTTTTTTTTATTGTGTCTTTGCCAGGTTGTGGTGTCAGAATCATGCTGGCTTCATAGAATGGGTCAAAGTAGAGTCTCCTCCTCAGTTTTTTTGGAATAATTTCAGTAGGATGGGAATAATTTTGTATCTGGTAGAATTTAGCTGTGAATCCATCTCGTTCTGGGCTTTTATTGGTTGATTGGCTTTTTCTTACTGATTAAGTTTTGGAACTCATTATTGGTCTGTTCAAGGTTTCATCTTTTAAATATCAATCAGGTTATTTTAGCTGCTGTATAAAAAAATCCAAAATCTTCAGTATGACCTACAAATGACCTACAACCCCATTTTGTACAATTCCTTCGTCACTATTTCCGGCCACCCTAATTTCCCGCCTGTTCATGGAATACACCAAGCTCTTCGAACGTGCTGTTTCCTCTACCTTGAATGCTCCTTCACTGGCTCTTTCAGCTGTGTCTTTCACATCCTTCAGGTCTTACCTTACGTGTAACCTCCTCCTGAGTTACTGTCTCTGATATTCCCCTTATTTTTTCTTTGTAGCACTTATCTGTAATCACACACACTGTAATATGTAATTATAACTTGCAACGCAAACATGTCATTGTTTATTTGCTTACTTATGCATTGTCAACTCTTCAATTCCAAACGAAATTATAACCTATTGAGGGCAGAGACTTGTCTGTTTTGTTCACAGTTGAATCCTCAGTACCTAGCAGAGTATTTGGAATTTAGCAGGGGCTCGATAAATACTTGCTGAATGAGTAAACAGACTCTCCTCACCTTCTTCTCTTACCTCCTTCATCCAGTTCACCACTAGATCTTGTAGATTTTTGCCTTGTAAACAACTTTTTATTCTTTCCAGCTCCACCACTATGGCCCTGTGTTAAGCTACTGTCAACTCTCCCATGGTCTGCTATGACAGCCTCCTACACTTAACTACCTGCATCCACTTGGGCCCCCCTCCAATCCATTATTCTCCCTGCAGTGGCATAATCTTTGAATACAGAAATCTGGTCATCTTGTTCGAATCACTTCAATGGCTTTTCTTTGCTGTTAGAGTCAAGAGCACAATTCTTAGCAGGGTCTGCAATAAGACTATGCCTGCCTTGCTTAGTCTCCTGCCACTGCCAACCTCATTTTCTTCTCCACATCCCCTCACTCTGCTTAGATGTGACTATGCCTATGCTAATATCTTTATGACTTAGAAAGCCTAGAAGTTCTAGCCCTTGCATTAATAATAATAATACCAAAAATAATAGCTAACATTTATTGAACTTTTTTTATGTGCCATGCTATACTAAGTACCTGAAATTTAGTCCTTTCAACTACTATTAGAATGGGTACAGTTATTACTCTCATTTGTACAGATAACTATAGTTTTCAGTCCTTCACTTTTTATGCAGCATAAAAACTTCTCAGAAACCTTCTAGATCTCAGATTTTTCTGTTCAGTGGAAGATGAGTTGATAAGCTGAATATAAAATCCAGCCTCAAGGCCTTTGCACATGTTCCTTTTCTTGGGAATCTGCTTCTTCTCACTTGCTACTACATTACTCTTACTCATTTTTTGGATTTCAACTCACATGACAATTACTTTAGGAAACCTTCCTGAATCTTCCTTGCCCCTTTGCCATCCATCACACAAAATTGGGTACCATCAGCTACATGACCTCACAGAATTGCATTTTCCCGGCCAGGCATGGTAGCTCACACCTGTAATCCCAGCACTTTGGGAGGCCGAGGTAGGCAGATTGCAATCCTGTAATCCCAGCACTTTGGGAGGCCAAGGTGAGCAGACTGCAATCTCATATAAGTATATAAGTATATTGCAATCT